TTGTGATTGCGAACCCAACAAACAACGAACAACAAAACATTGACACTATGATTGCTGTCGTCGGCAACGAGGTGAATTAACCTCTTCGTCTCCACCAGACCGCTATTGTATCTAGGCTCCAGCTCTCCGTCTCTGACTATAACAATAACTGGTAAGTCCGATAGCCTATTTTTTTGTATGTTAGCTTATCTTATCTTGCTAGAGAGAGAGATTTTTTGGGATTGTGAGAATTGAGAAGTTGGTTAATATAGTGTTGGTAAGATGGGTACATTAATCTAATAAGCAGGTGTATAGTGTGTACAGAACTTTGAATATGACAGCATTAGGATAATTATTCCATTTTCATTTTTATATATATCCACGTTATTATTGATTGCGCATGGAAGGTGTCAGGAGATTGGATCAAATTTTGCTTGGACGGTGAGTGGCAGTGGCACCAAGTTTTTATTCCAACCTTTCATCATTAGAATGCGTCCTAAGGTTTTCCCAATAATATTTTATCTAAAAATTTATATTTCAGAGCATAAATTTATTTATTTTGAATTTAATGCAAGTTGTCAATTTTGATTGAGTGATGGTAAAACGAGAATTAACGCAGAAGAATAATGTGTAGAATTTAGAAGAAAGGTATAAAGTGACTGAGTGATACTGTAGACTGTGGTTTGTTTGTGAGAGAAGAAAATAGAATAATAAGATTTAAGAAGAGGGAAGAGAGAATGCCTTAAATAAGAAGGGGAAAGAGATAAAAAGGCAAATATTAGAATCACTTTGAATAAAAAATTTTAGTTGTGTAAATGGTCAATGATTAACAGTCAACGATTAAGGACTGCTTTAGCTGAAACTATGGCCCTAGACTCGCCATTGATTACAGGTAAATCAAAATTTACATGTAAAGATTTCTCCAAACGCTAACAATCTCAAATAGAACCAACAAATATTAAGGTATTAAAAAAAAGAGTTAACTCTTTTAATACCTAATCTTCCACAACTGTTTATGCCCTCGATCAACTTATAAGCAGCCCGAGAGAACATAAGTCTACCTCGAAATTTTCAACATTTGTTCCAAATGTATCAAAGCTCTCTATCTCTTACAAACAAGATATGTCTCTACTAAAGGGTTAAAGAGTCAAAACAAACTTTCAAAAAATGTTAATATATTTTGTACACTTATTGGGCTATTAAGCTAGGGTATTTGTTGTTGTTTTGAATGATTATAGCTTAACTATATGATAATATTGTTTGTTTGATCAAACTCAAGGCAAATTGATGGATTGGACAAAAAGAGTGAAAAGGGATGAAATTCAAAATTTGAGGACCAAATCGTAAACTTTTAATAGTTGATTTAGACCTAATATCGAGTATTGCAAGGTGGTTGAAAATTCAATTGGATTCAATTGAATGTTGAAGGATAAAATTCATGTAAACAAAGGATCACGATGAATAAGAATTAAAAGGTGGAGAATAAAATATGTATGCCACTGAAAAATATGTGAAGCGTGCACAAGGGAAAAAGTTGGTATATCGGCATCGACTCACCTCAAGATTAACCAAGAGCTACAAGTTTATGAAGCATGCATGCGGCTAAGATGTCGACGTGCGGGCAAATATACTCGGGGGAACTATTGCTCAATTACATGTTTTAATCAAAATTCTGCATGAATTGAGATTTAGACATGATTGTGACTAGATTTTTGGACTCTTATAAATACAGAATTTAGACAAAAATATTGGGAATCTCTCTCTAACATCTTAATACACATTCATATCATCAAATTCATCAAGAACAAGAAGTCAATTCACTACTTTTGTGAGAGAAGATCAATATCTTTTGAATTCATTCATGACCTAGTTGATGATTTTCAATTATTCTTCTTGTAATTTATGAAATCATGCTAGATTAGATCCGTTATTGTATTGGATGAAGATGAATCATATTGTTTATTTATTTTAATTCAAAACTAATAGTTTAGTTAATTCTTTCATTTCTTGGTTAATTTTGCATTCTCATTGAATTATATAGCTATGTAGCTAACAATCAAATAATTAGTTACTTATTGTAGTGTTAAAAAAATTCACAATAAGCTCAAATGAAAAAATTCACAATAAGCTCAAATGACTACAATATTAACATACAGAAAATAGATGTTAGGAGTAACATTGCATGTACAATCATATAAATGATCTAAAATTTAATGTATCCTAATTATTGGAATTCAAATTAGAAATAAAATCGGATCATGATTAGAATAGATTTATTTTATCTTAAAACAATTATATATCATAGCTTATCGATTGTCAAGAATGGACGAATAAGACTAGATTACATAATTAACAATTGAAGTAAATAACAATAGGCAAATTCTAAATTCAATGAAATCATCCATTTATTCATACAAATCTAATTTTTACATAATTCTTAGAGTAATTTAGCATAATTCTAAATCAAATCTCCTTTTTGTTATATACTTCGAATTCAATACAAGACTAGTAAACTTGAATCAAAATTTATTCTGTGTAGAACATACTCTATCTCATCACAACTATTACTTGTCAACGATCTCATAAGCTTATCAAATTATCACAAACAAGCTTTTAACATTGCTATCAGGGAATAAAGTATTTAATTTGAATTTATTAGTTTATATAAGATTCATTTTATTTTTTTTTTAATTTTGTTTCAGGCTAGTAATTACATAGATAATCCCTCCATTTTTTTTTTTAACACTTTGTGCAAGATTATGAAGAAATCGATCTCTTACCATTGAATCTCGACATCGAAAGAACTTTCAGATAATGAAAAAGAGAAAAGAGAGAAGCAAGAAAAATGACAAAAAATCAAAATCAAAATCAAATTCAGTTACAGTCAGATCCACCAGCACAGCCAGATCCACCAAGAACAGTTGCCTACGATGGTGAAATATTAGTAAGGGATTATGTAAATCTCAAACCTGCTCCTATGTGACCACCTAATATATATCCAACTTTTGGACATGTCAACTTCCACATTAGACCCGACATCATCAGTCTATTTCAAAATTATCACGACATTAAGTTCTCTAAAAAATCAACTAAAAATCTCCACGAACATATTCAAGCCTTCTTGATGATTTGCAAGGTGATCAACACGAAGGTAGTCAGTTGACGCTTTTTAACTGTGTCTATTCCCTCATACTTTAAAGGAAGGCGCACAAGAATAGTTAATCACACTACTTTCTAGGAACATCATTTCGTAGAATGATATGGTACAGAAATTCATTTGAAATTTTTCTCGCCTTCTCGAGTCCATTAAATCAAAAACGAACTCTATACATTCAAGCAGAAGGACCTCAATATCTATCCAGAAGCATGGAAATATTCAAAGACTACTTCAAAAAATACTACAATCTGAAAGTTCCTAAAAACATTAAGAAATCGTATTCTATTCAAACTTGTGACCTAAATACTATCAACGCAAGCAAGACGATCAATAAATGAATATACCTTTAAACAATACATTAGATATTTTTTTGAGAGAATTGCAAAAAATTCAGTCCATTTGAACTCATTTCTTATGTAACTTTAGTCCTTTATCTTCAAATAATTGTGATTAAGTCCTCTTCTATCTTAAATCAATATAGTTGACCCATGCAAATTTGAAAGTTTACAATTTAATCTCCAAACTTTTTAATTGTCGAATTAAATCTTGAAACTTATGAATTTTTACCGAATGCTCCATTAATACATCCAATTGAACTCTTGCAGTTCGATTAATTTTCAATTGCCTCAAATTAAGCTCCAAATTATCTCTTTCACATAAATTGTATCCAAGTTGGGGTTTTCCTATAATATACATAATTTATACAAATTAAGTAGATAATCGCTCAATTTATATATAATAAGAATAGAAACTCAAATAAGCACATAAAAGACACTTATCAAATATCCACAAACTTAAATTCTTATTCATCCTGAGTAATATTACCTACTAAATATACAAGCAAACAAATAAAAATATAAATGCATTAGATAACTTTACCGAACTTGCATCAAGTATTGAAATCGTTTGAAATTTTACAAAAGGCTTATAGTTGGAACGAAAAATAATTATTTACTCATTCAGTGCTCGATCAATATGTGTGTGTATAATCAATCTAATAATTATGAGCTTTTAAATTGATTGTTTCTTGACCTTTAATAGTCAAATATTTCCTCTCTCTCGTGGAATACACACCCTTAAACTTATTTTTCAATCACAAAATCGATGTGCATATTTAAGGTTGATTTTACAATAATCCCGCTAATGTTTTGTCGGGTTTCACCAATGAAAGTTACTATCTCAATATGTGATGATTTTCCTTAAGTTTTAATGTCTTAACCTCCAAGCTTCAACTAGGATAATAACCATCACCAAAAGTCTAAATTCGAAATTCAGTATCCAAGGTTTAGCCGGACAGAAACAATGATTATAGTTGTTTTGCCACTACTTCAACACATTTTGATGTATTTTTCTTTTCATTTGTTTTTATTGCGTCAAACCTTCTGCTTTTTGGGTCTTTTATTTGATTTTCGAAGATAATTTTCATTCTATATTGCAGGCAGTCTTCTTCCTTGATGGATCTTCTCCTAAACATAGGAGATAAATAAGGTTAGATTATTCAAGACTAGCTTCCCACAACAATGTAGGTAACTTTTTTCCTACGTGCCATGGCTTGAGCAATGCTTTTTATTTTTTTAGTAAGTAGTTAAAATCAAACCCCTAGTTTGATAGCTACCTACTTTCTACTTGTTAATCAATAATATTCCACACAAATATTCAACATGCACAAAATCAGCACATATATAAATAGCTCACAATATTGAATCAACCATTCCCAAGCTTATTCTTTCAATAGGCTAAGTGTACTGTATATTGTAATCTTAGTTTATCTCTAAGTTCATTCAACATATTCTATTAATGTAAGCAATTCAAAAGTACATAATATTTATTATGACTATCGTGCTCAATATAATAAGATCTCACATAAACAAATATCGAATTAGCAAAAATATTGTGTAACTTATTCACAATTGATGAAACACAAAAGTTTTCAAATAATCGGTAAAGCTATATATTTCAAATCTTTCAATTTTTATTTTTTTTTAAATCTCTCAAACAAGCAAATATAGTTACTAACTAATTTACTCCCTCAAACTTAAAATACAAATTGTTCTCAATATGTGCACTTCCTTCAATATCATTTCCTTGCTCGTTTTGTAAAATATTTTGTTACACCTGAAAATGAATAAGAAAAATAATTACCCATATACTCACTTGCAAGTTTATGTTAATTTAATTTGAAATAATTTTTTAATATTTATTTATTTTAATAAGAAAAAGAAATGAAACAAAGAAAGAAAGAAAAAAGTCAATTGTGTTTTTTTTAAAAACCGAATAAAGAAAAAAAAAAGGAAATTTGTTTTAACTATTTTTTTAGAGAAAGAAAAATAATAAAGAAAAGAAAAAAATAATTAAATATTTTTTTGGAGAAAAAAATGAATAAAGAAAAAGAAAGAAAGAATTTTTCTTTTCTTTCTTTTTTTTTTTTTTGGAGGGGGGGGAGGTTTTAACCGCTGGTTGCAAGCATGCTATTGGCCTGAGGCAAATAGGACTGCACACTGCCAATGACAGGATCAAGGATTGCAAATCCATAACTGACTACGAACAATGCAGACTTTTTGTTTAGAAAATTAGAAAAATATACATATATTTAAAATGTAATCCTAAATAATATAATAATAATAATAATAATAATAATAATAATTTAAGGTTAAGAATTGGGTTGCCTCCCATTAGTTATTGATTTATAGTTTCAAGCATGTGGACTGTGATATTTCATAAAACTTTGAATAGGGTTGTTTATCTTGCGTAGATTATCTTTGTACCATATTTTGTCCATCCTCCAAAATATTACTTTTTCGACTTGAATATGGCATAACTTGCCTAAATTGCTCGATTCAAACTTAATTAAAAGTACTTTGATCTCCTCATTGACTTTAAACCACAAATCAATGAAGTTGGAGGTTTGCATACTAATTTCACCTACATTGAATGCCACTAATTTGTTTGGCTCCTTTATAATTAGTTCCTCAATTTTTACATGTCCTTCTTCTCTTGTTGTTTCCTAGGGTTGAATGAGAAAGAGATCCTCCATAAATACTTGGCTCATCCATAAATTGCTCGATTCAAACTTAATTAAAAGTACTTTGATCTCCTCATTGACTTTAAACCACAAATCAATGAAGTTGGAGGTTTGCATACTAATTTCACCTACATTGAATGCCACTAATTTGTTTGGCTCCTTTATAATTAGTTCCTCAATTTTTACATGTCCTTCTTCTCTTGTTGTTTCCTAGGGTTGAATGAGAAAGAGATCCTCCATAAATACTTGGCTCATCCGGAATTATTTGATATTCAATCCTTTTATATTTTTGTATGGCTATGATATATCCTATAACAATGTCACCGTCATCATTTTCTTTTTCATATGGATCATTAAAGATATAGTTTTCCTTACTTCATCTGAAGTTGCCAAAAATAAGCAATTTTTAATATAATGCAATACACCACAATATTCACAAGTAGATTCCTTTTTTCATAAACAATAGATTTGATATGCGGGGGGCAGAGTTAGGATTTTAGTTCAGTGCGGGCAAAATTTTTTCAACACCAGACATCGAGGTTTTGGTCATAGATTTAATGATGATAAAAAAATAAAACGACAATACTAAAAAGATATAATTTATATACTATACTTGTTTCTTACGAGTTTTCATACTTTATATATTATACTTATTCCATTGCAATTCACAACCTCACAATGTAATATATAATATTTCCAAATTTCAACTTCCAAGTGACAGTGTAAGTGCAATTCACAACTTCATAATGCAATATATAATATTTCCAAATTTCAACTTCCAAGTGACAGTGTAAGCAACTTACAATTGCTTATTCGCAGAGAGCTAGAAGCAACAATGAACTAATCCACTGGAAGTCTATGCCAAAATCAATTGAAGAGCAACGTGTAGAAAGCGCTGCTTTGAGCAATTGAAGAACAAAACGCTAATATAAAAAAAAAAAAAACAAAAAATAAGGAAAAAAAATTTCAAAAATCACTGGTGGAAATTGAAGCTTTAC